ACGGGATGGTTTTTAGTCAGTAAGAGTCTGACACTCCCTCCCGCCTCACCCGAGCGGGAGAAGTCATTGCATGATTTTCCCCTCTCAAAAAAAGGACTCACGGCGCGATCTTCTCCCGCGCCCGCCGCGGTACCGGAATGGAGGCAAGGGCAGTTTTCTGCGATCCCACAGCCGCCGCAGTTGCGGACCCGCAGCCTTTGTAGAATACCTACAGATATGGATGTAAAAAATCAAAGTATTTTTTGCGGCGCGTTTTACTCGCTGTCCTATTGTACTTTGCTGTACTCAAGTCCAATCGATCTGAACGTGGATCTGGGTCAATGGTCAATGTCAATGATTTCTGCATATACAAGGGGAGGTCTAGTTTCTTATGCGTTGTGGAAAGCTTAATATGATAATGGGCTCTGTCAGTTACAAGATAGTTAGCGTCAGAATGGCTGTTTGGTCAATGGCAAGCAGCTCTGTAATTATATTCAAAAATTACTACCAAATTGCTTAAATTTCCTACATGTCTTCAATAATTGCTACATTCATTCATTCAGAGAATTATACACATTTCTTTAAATGTAACAATTCTTGATATACTTTCAAAGGTGCTTGCCATCGACACTCTAACACTAATTATAAGATAAAGCATAAACGTAAGATAACTGGACGAAATCAAAATCCGACGGTAACACTGTCTTGTGTAACTTGTACAATATAAAATGGTTTATTACCTATAGGTAACCGAATCGAGTATTACATTACTAAACCATAAATGGAGTGGGAGGTATAATAATTAGTTGCCTTGTTGACTACAATCCATTAATTTATGTGTGCAAACAAATCCACCTACAAAGCTTAAATACCAGGGTCGTATTTAGGTAAGGCTAAACTAATATTACGCCAGAAAGATATTGGTGATAATAGTTTCGGCAAGTCGAAAGAATGGACAAAACTTAACTGCGAAAGGGTCGTGAAAGGCGATATGCCTTAATTTCAGAATAGTTGAAGAGATTTATTTATTTCAAAGTCATAGTCAAAATCATTTATTTCATTTAGACCAGGAAAGCACTTCTGAACGTCAACAAAAAATTTAAAGTGAAGCTGTTTGGTCATTCCAAGGTGTAGATTTCTATGAAGGCTACTCATCCAATCCACTTGGTATTAATGCCGGGGTTCCTCAGGGGTCAGTACTCTCAGCTACACTTTTTTTGTTGCACATTAATGACCTGCTCCAGCCCGGTATCTTTGGGTACGCAGATGACAGCACCGTTGTTGAGAGGTATGGGTCCGATGCGCAAACCAGTGCAACTCAAATCCAGTCTCTGAGAGAATCTATGGTAAATCGTCTGAACCTGTCCTTGCAGGCGGTCTCCGATTGCGGTGACGCCAATCTGGTCAGGTTCAATGCCAGCAAAACCCAGGCGTGTCGAGTCAACCCAGGAGTTGGTTCCCACTGACTCCTACTTTCCGAGGTGTGTCCGTTCCGATGGGTGACCGTCTCGAGTTTCTCGGCGTAACTCTGACGCCCACTCTCAATTTTGGCTCGTATATCGAGACAAAGGTGCAACTGGCTGGTAGAAAGTTGGGTGTCCTGTCGAGGGTGAGACGGTACTTCACGCCGGAGCAGTTGCTCACTCTTTACCAAACACAAGTTCGGTCGTGTATGGAGTACTGCTCCCATCTTTGGGATGGCTCGACGAAATACCAGTTAGAAGCCCTCAAATCCATCGAGAGGCGTGCCAAGAGGCTCATCAATGACGATTCGCTTGTGGAAGCTCGGCTACAGAGCCTCGAACACAGGCGTAAAGTTGCAAGCCTTTCGGTCTTCTATCGGATACATTTCGGTGAGTGTGCATGGGAATTGCACAAACTTATTCCCCCTAGTCCATTTCACCACCGTATCACCAGACGAACGGCGGGGCGCCACCCTTATATGGTGGACATTCCACCCATTCGCACGAAGCGTTTTGCGTCAAGCTTCCTCATGCGAACCGCTAAGGAATGGAATTCCTTGCCAGAGGCTGTGTTTCCCGTCAAATATGACTTGGATGTCTTCAAGTCCCGAGTGAACAGGTTGCTCATAGGTAGGCGTGCTCCATCGTCGGCCACATTATCGCTTACCATCAGGCGAGATGGTGGTCAAACGTCGACCTATAAAGTATAAAAAAAGAAGAATGAGCAAGAAACTTCATAGATTACTCTTTATTATTTAATATGTTAACATGGTTTGAAACCATGAGATTAAACATAATTAATTCTGGTTCAAGGCCACTCCTTGCGCGTTTTTATACGAGACAACACCGGCACCTAGTCTGGGATAACAAGAAGTCTGGCAGCATATACTATAATTATTATGTGACAAATATCTAGATCAGATCCATGAAAGTGACAAAGGCTAAAGTACATGCTTCGGCACGAATGGACCGGCTTGACCGGAGTGATACCACGGCCCCACAGAAAACCGACGTGAAACAACGCTTGCATTGTGTTTCGTCGTGTGAGTGTGGTTAATTGAGGCCCAATTACCTCCTCCTGCTCCCTAGTCTTCCGAATCCCCGAATCCTCCACAATCCTCAAATTCCCAAATCACGAAAGGCCGATAACGCACTTGTAACGCCTTGGAGTTACGGGTGTCCATGGGCGACGCCGACTGCTTACCATCAGGTGATCCGTACGCTAGTTTACCTGCTTATGCTATAAAAAAATTATGTAAGGATCGCAGTGGTAGTATTCCATAGTTAACTTACATACATACCTATATAACTTTACGCCTGTCTGCCATGGGGGTAGGCAGAGACTATGGACCGCCAATTACTAACCTATATTAGGATAAATAATGAAAAACAGCAATTACTTTGAATATTTTATTGCAGCTATAACGGTAGTGAATCAGAAATTGTCTAATATTATAACGAATACAATACAATAATTACAATAAAATAAATCGATTAAACATGTAGGGGTAGGGTGTACGATCAGATTTGTATCTACAAATTGGTATCCACTAATTAATTTGAAAACACGTATACAATTTGTCAATAACCCCATCCGATCCGATAGGCGTTTCTTTAGGCACTACGATGTCGAAAAAATATCATTTGGTATTTCATCTCATCGGGTATAATTTCAGACTAGTAATCAATGTAAATAATTTACAACATTAACACCTTCACGAATTGGATGGGGGCTTCTTATACAGTAGAACTAGTACATTGAAATATCTTTAGAAAAGTACGTGAGTAAATAACGCTGCGTGACCATTGTTAAGAAAAAATGGTTCACTGACTAACAACTTGTACGACTTTTTATTTACTTCTACTACAAAACGTGATTCGTAAAACTTGAAATAGAATTAGGTGCTGGTCACAATCTATTAAACATTGAGATATTTTGAATTAATAATATTCATAAACCGACTGATTAAATAGAGCAAAAACCACAAAGACAGATATATAGTTAGAGGCTATTTACATCAGTTATTTACATAAATACACCAATGAAATTGGTGGCCAAGTCAGTGCAAATGAAGCATATGTATGCGTAACATTTGCATGACCAGAGGCCTTAGTACGAGTTTGTTTTACGTTTAAACTATTCGAAACGAGTTCGCGTTCGGCACTCTGATTGGCCGGCGCCAATGAACCAACCAATCAGAGCACCGAACACGTACTCGTTACGATTACTTTAAACGTAAAATAAACTCGTACTAAGGCCTCAGATAGAAAATGCGTAACGTTCTACTTATGACCTCGGCGTACGCTTCCATTAAAGTCTTATTTACCTTAAACTACATGACAGCATGCTAACATAACATCTAGATTACAATTCAAATATTTTGATGACGATAACAGCACAATTTGTGAGAAGATATCTAATCATATTAAAGATTAATGATACATGCGAGATCAACCAATTAAATTCTTAGAGTATTTTATTTAGCTTAATTGATGGCTATGCCAAATCATAAGGCGATACGAATGAGAAAATACAATAAATACATTTACGATACAAATATTTATGAATTTCTTAACTTTGAAAGGTATGAATGTGACTCAAGCTGATGTCGATAATATAATGCTAAGTGCGTTTAGGGTATTAACATATTCTATAGCACTCCTTCCTCATCCCTATTTAACAATCTTCCAAAGACTAGGGCCCTTCTACGTGAACATAACTACAATAAAGGGATTTATAATTTGATTTGATGGAAACCCACTTATTAGGTAAACGCATCAATATGCTACTGGGAAATGCAGAAACAGAAATGCGTTGTTTCTCTACTAAAACTAATAGAAAATACATTTCTTAACATCAATAATGAACTGTAAACAATTTCAAAGGCATTCTAATAATTAATTAATCAGTTGTGATTGGTTTAAATGTTGTATTATTATATAGTACAGTAGCAGCTAGCTATATACAGTGCACTAAGATCTATTTTATGGACGTTGCAACAATTGTTCTTTGATTTATTTCGAGAATAAAAGAAAAACATTATTGCTTTATTGACTAAAAAGTGCAGAAACAGTCCGGTCAAAATACATATTTCAATTAGTGATAATGCTCTTAAAGCTGAAACGTAATTATAATGTATTTGTAATGGTGTATACCCAATAAAACGACTAAGTTCCAGCCATCGTGCCTTGACCGGACTAGAACATTTATATTGCATACAGAATTACACTTTCAAGGAAATATCTAACAATTTTATTATTATTAAAGTGCATATATTTTCTACCTCTATTTATACCTTACAACGAAATCATAGATAGACTCTTAATATCTATTTACTATAGAACTGTTAACATGTCTAAAAATTGTGTGTCCTACTACTTAGAAATATCTCCTATACCTCTACAATTTGATAGTTGTGCTAAAACTCTATTTCACTACATTTGATGCGACTTATGTAGATTCTGTTTCTTCAAAAAACTTTAACTTTTATTTAACAAATCATTATCCTCCCGCGTTGTTAAGCATCGCGGTAACTTATCAGCATCTGTATTTTATTGCATTGGGTGAGAGCAGTGACATGGCTTAATTTTTTGAAACTAAACTTTGTATTTTAATCAGCAGAATTGTTAACTATGGCTTATGGATAATGACGCCGTAAATTTTTTGGTTTTTGTTTTGGAGAATCACCCAGATAATTCATTGCGTACTGGTGTATCAAAATTTTGTAACACACATTGCGCCATCACTTATATTGTTAAAGTAAATATGGGTTTATCCTAAAGCAAGCATGATTATACCACCACCTTATATTAAATGGTCTTTACATTGACAAACTGCTAGTGCTAGCTAGCATTAACAGAAACTAATACTAATTCAAAATTGCTACAATTTTTTAGTAATTAAAGATGATTGAAAACTTTAAGAAAGACACGTCGGTCTCTTATTTTCACACATATAAGACACTAGCTTCAGCCCGCGTCTTCGTACGCGCAATCCTGTTTTTCCCGTTCCCATTCGTGATTTTCGGTAAAAAGTAAAAAAAATCGATGAAAACGTATCCTATGTCCGTCTCCTAGTTCTAAGCTTCCTCCCCACCAATTATCATCCACATCGATTTAGCCGTTCTTGAGAATTGGTGTAACTAACACGACTTTCTTTTGTATATATATGAGACAGCAATGATTGTAGTAATGTCAGAACAATTTGATTAAACTTGCCCATACTAAATCTAATATAGGAGTAAATTAATACAAAACTATTCAATTTACTTTCTTTGTAAAACAGAGTGAAAGTCTCCTGTGATTTCATTGTAAAGTATAAAACAGTGTTGTTGATAAAAAATTAAGTAAACTTTCATAGATTAATATTTTCTCACGATAAAGAATTTGGTTACAATTCCAGCACTGAGTCCATCTTGTCGTAAACGCTGGGGGGTTGGCTATATTATGAGATTCAATATGTTGTAGAAGGGGGCCTTTTGCCAACTGTATTCAGCTCGTCCTTGGCAATCGAACTGCGACCACTCAATTAAGAGGCACTATGCTGACACTTCAATCAATCTTGAGTACTGATTTGAATTGCAATTCCAACTATGTAAGCTGATTATTCTTTGATCTGTAACAAAATTTTATATGTTAGTCAGAGCCACAATTAATTTGGCACCTAATTATATCCATCATGGACGTCTAAACGTTTGTAATATTTTAGCATGTTCACCTTTTAAAACAGATTTTTTTACGTCATAATTTTGTTTCGCATAACAACTAATAGCATAATCTTCATTTCGCATAAAGTTGTTTGGCACACACTCATTTATCATAAATTCGAATCGCATAATTTTGTTAGTCAGAATTATCTTAAGGCATACATTTTACGGCCATAATAAGCAGAACCATCATATTCCAGAAAATTCGCAGTCAGGATCTTCTTTTGACATACATTTAATACCTACCAGTAAGCGTCGTATCTGTTATGGCTTCGGCGCTGCGGGATTTGGGCGGGTTTATTGTTGTAGATGGATTCAATGCTCACGATGACAGCTACCCCTCCGCGCCTACGCGGGCTTGAATTACACTCTAGGAGTAGGGCAGACAAGACTGTGAAATGTCGGTATTGCGGTCTTTACTGTCGCTATTAGCACAACATAACGGCTTCTTATGAAACTAATTTAATTTAATGTTGATAATGGTACCAATTAACAAGTAAAATTAAATTCTATAAAAAAACTAAAGAATTATTATTTCTCTAAATATGTATTATGCTGAATAAAACCAAGCGTAGTACTAATTTTGTCATATTATGTATTGATTATGCCAAAGCAGATTATGCATAATAAAAATTGCCTTGTTATAAAAGAATATCGTTGTAAATTCAGATATGAAAAAAATCTGACAAACATTAGGTTATGCAAAATAATGTTTATGCCTGACAAATATTCGATCAACAAAGATTATGCATTATGTGTTATGCCAAATAAAATCGGAGTATCAAGATTCTGTCAAAAGAAGAAACCTAATTTAAGCTTGTATGCTTTGAAGAACATGTTATATATTATATTTTGTTCGTCTGAAAACCTTATATTGATGACGTTTCTGCCAATATTAGCATTATTATCAAAACTATTGCCGAGGTACTACTAATGTAAATCATTTAATTTTAATGTGTGATAAGTCTCGTGAGATATATACTAAATTCATTATTTTGTTTTTCAGCTTATTCACGTACGTAAAGTCAAGCCACCTAGGGGTGGCTTGAAAAGTACTATAAAGTGCTCATGTTCATGAGTAATATTCTGCGACATTAATCAAGTTCCTCGTTAAGCATTTACGTAATTAGAACAAAAACATAATAAATAGTTTTAATATGATAGAAGAAAGTCTGGAGTGTAAAAAGTAAAATTAAAACTACGTACCGTGGGAAGAATCACTCGTCATGATTGATTTCCATCTAGAGTCCTGTTCACTGCAAATAAAAGGTTTGTATAATTACCTGAATTATCTAGATGACAAAGCACAGCATTCGAGTAGATACAAGATTTTTGAAGAATAAAGTTGACAAACTAAATGAGAAATAAATAGTAGCATCGCAAAGCAATTATTATATATATAATTACCTAGAAATAATAATTATAGAGGGTAGCATAGATATTCGTTCGCGTTAATGTGTATTCATAAACAGATTAGTAAGCCAGTACGTGATAGCTAATTCTTCGTAGGGTGAACTTGAATTTGCTAGCACGTTGGTCGCAGAGCTTGTCGAAGAAATAGACCAGTGAGCATGTTAAAGAAAAGCAATTGGAATATAATTTCAATGTCACAAAATTGTAGGTACAAAACTTAGTATTTTAGTTTGAATTACTTATATTTTTAACATGTTCCCCTGTCCAACAGTGTATATCTAAAATAATGTTCAATTTGCCAAGCCTAATTGACTGAACAGCAACTTTATAGCTTACAGTTCTTCTTGTCTGAAATTCGATTCCTTCTCCGCTCTCGTGTGACTGGTTTGCGTTTGGATGTTGCTGATCTCACAAGGCTCTCCAATATCTCTTCGTCTGCTGATAAGTCTCCACTGGAAATGATAATAGTTCAAAGATTTTATCATTAATCTGATGACAGGGTATGAAAATTATAAATCTAATTACTCCGTAAGTGAGGTAATGAAAAAATATTAGACACTTTTTTTTTTATTTTGTCGTATAATAAAACAATACTTAGATAAAACGAATCAAAGTTTAGGAGTGGGGGCTAAAACGTCATTTCTACGTATAAAATGTACATAGAAGTGACGTCACGCGACATTTCAAATCAATATATCGTCGAAAGTATTCGTTTTTGTAAGATTATTTCTTGGTGTTCTTCTTGGTGTTCCATGGGCGACGCCGATTGCTTACCATCTGCTGGATTATCGGCTTATGCCATAAAAAATGTTTTCCTGTTCAAATTTAGTACAAAGTACTTCCAACTTCTGAAAGTAGATTAAGTGCAATTATTTTTAACTAATTACTTAATTCAGAGACGTGTGCGAAGTAGTTATTTGTTTCCCCTACAAAATTATAAAACTACTTACTTGACTAGAATTCTTCTGCTGTTGGGCTGACTCTTTCTTCTACCGTCTGTGAGGCTGTCGGTATCCGGGTCAGTTTTCAAAAGTTCTTTTAAAGCACTATCTGCAGTGTGGTCGCCATTTTTGTGAGAATAGTTACCCACCTGAAATAAAAATGTCCCCATTTGTTAAACCAATAGCTGGTTGGAAAGGATCGTGCGATAGTGATTAGTCTGCTACCGCATTAACAAAGCTTATGCTTTTAAAATATGTGAAAAGTTATATATGAAAACAGATATATTTGATACGTTTAGGTTCACTGATCATTTCGTTTATAATTATGAAAACGTTCATGAGACATACTAAATTCTAGCATGGCTTGAAACTAGTAGAATTCTTTGTCAAACCGTTACGTGAGTAAGCTGAAAACATAATAATTAATACTGATTATTTTGTCTAGTATCTGAGAAAGCACCAGTCGATTAACTTACATCAATAATCATTTTGCCTCTAGTCTTGTTTCTCTCTCTGTGATTAGCCTTTTTCTCCAACTGTTGTAGTACCCTTTCCCTAGTAGTCCTGTACTCCAGAGAAAATTCCGCTATGACCTTCAAGAATTCTGCAGGCTTGGTCTTGGGTATATCACATGGAGGCACTCCGAGGAAGAGTAAGAATTTGTTAAATCTGTAACAATTTTAAAGTTGAAATCTAAGTGTTTCTTTTGTTCTAATTGCACTTAAGAAAGCTTGATTGTCATTTGATTGCAAGTTGCAATATATTCGTTTGGTTCGTTGGTGAAACTATAAGTTATTTGCATAGTTCAGATTCTTAAAGAGTAGTTATAGTTTTCGAGAATTTTGGTGTCACAAGTAATATTTCTTCACACACGCCTATTAAAAAATCAAACACTATCCCGCCTATTCCGGTCATGCTTGTTTGGTTTCTTCCCTTTCATTAACTATCACTATCCATTAGTATTTTTAACAGCAGACGTCACTTAATTTCCATAAAAGTTTCTGAGACCCAAACTGTTATAATATTCAGACATATTACCTGCTCATCACCCTCTTCTTGATAACTGACAGTAGAATGATTCTCTCCGCTGCATCTGTGAGGAATTCATTTATTTTTGTCTTGAAAATCTGAGACCCATCATGTTTTGCAACGCGTTTCATATGGTCCCAAGATGCTTTGCAGTCAGATTCCAACTTCTGGAGATTCGCTGAGAGCACATCGAAATCTACTTTAGAGGCTCGGATGACAGGACCGACCTGGAAATTTTAGTCAGTTGACTTAAAATACAAGTATTTATAATTTGACCAATAATGCTTTAAGTCCTAATGAAAATAAGTTTGTGAAAATACTCTTAGACATAGGGTTTGCGGTACAATAAACGAAATAAGTAAATAAATGTAGTAAAGTAGCATACTAACTTCACTAAAAAAGTCGGAGCTTTCGGGGAATTTTCCAATGATCATTTCGCAGATGTGGTACAGAAGGGGATGCTTATGCACGGTGTCTTTAACTTCCACAACTTTAGATAAGTACTCCAAACGGAAACCTTTGGCATAGTTTCCATTCAGGTAGTTTCCGACGGTTCTCAACGTAGACAGAATTACTTTGAAGGTTCTATTCATCTTCAATAATTCTATACCTTGCTTTAGGTCCATCAGTGGTTCGGCGATTTCTTTCTGAAATTAAAAGATATAGATATTAGTTTGGAATATAGCAGTAATATTTTTCTGCTAAAGAAATATATTTCTTTGTTTCTTTACTCAAAAAATTTGGTTACAAATGTCAACAGCTGCAAGAACATTGGTGAGAGATTGAATTAAAAAAAATGGATCTTACCTCTAAATTGTCAAAATCCAATTTAAATACCCAAAGTTTTAGTCGAGATGACAGTTCGTTTATAGAAGCCAGAGTTAGTAGGAACTGTTCAGCACTGCCCAGTGGTAAATCCGGATTGGCGTACTGAAAAATATGTTATATTACAATTTGAGATTAAAAATTAACTGGCTTTGCCCGATCAAAATAATTGCAAATATTGAATTCACTTTTCATGGAAGTCCCGGATTGCCATCACCGACCGGTATGGTAATGACAATATATTGGACCTTGGACGCATCATCATTAGGAAAGAGACAAGTTGTACGTGTGGTATTTAAAAACAAAGACGTCGATGGTAAAGAAATAATATTTTATGAAATCTCTGCATAGTAATGTTATTATAATGATATTACCTGGGCCTCCTGTATTTTAATCTTTTCTTCTTCAGTGGGTAACATAGTCAGCAGTTTTTCTATACCTTCTCTACCAACGACGGTTGCATCCATTTTCATTATAGCTGCCTTAATAGTTTGGGGTTTTGGTAATTTTTTCATTGCGATATTGATAGCGTTTGATCTTTTAGCGTCTAAAATAAGGTTTCTCTTTGGTTCCATTAATTTCTGTAAATTAAATACAAATTACATTCAATGAGAAGACAGACACCATAAATTTTTCCTAAATTTTAGTATTCAAAATAAAAATGGAGTCCCTAAAAAGTAAAGATAATAAAAATAAAATGTACTTACTTCCTAAAAGAAGCCGGAGACGTACATGAAAAAAAAGAAGAAGAAATGGTTAGTTTTACTTAAAAACTTGAGAATTACATACAGTTTTTGTATACTCTACTTACTTTGATAATCAAATCATTAGTTCTAGATTCAAATAGATGCTCCAACATAGCAGTGTCAACGCTGACCTCAGGAAGGTCGTCCCAAATAAATCCTCCGACTTTCGGCCTTATCGCAACTGGCGTTGGATTCTCTTGTATTTCTCTCCAGAACAACTTAACTGTTTTCTTATTCTTTTTTATTGTAGAGCTATCAGAGTCGTTTGACATTTCTGATGAAAGAGCTGGTTTGGGTGGAGTAGGGACGTTATTTTTAGACAGTGGAGGGAAACAACCTGGCAAAGGCGGAGGAACCCCCATTGGCGGAAACATTGTGGGTGGCGGTGGTGGCGGACCGCTAGCAGCGTTCACAGCAGGCGATGACATCTCATCGTCAGAATCCTCGCGGAGATCAGAAAAATCTAAGTCGCATAAGTGGAATTCTCTATGTAGACAACCTTTTCTCAGTTCTTCCCAATGCAAATCATTCTCGGATACTTTGATTTCATGAACTTTCGGTGATTTTTCTATTGTAGGGCTCTTTATTATTTCTGTAAAACATTAATTATCTTTTATTACTAAATCCGATCATTTCAAGTAAATGAACATCACACAAAAATAAAAGCTTGTAAAAACAAAAATACCTTTTGATTGAGATTTAGCTAATTCTTCTTTGGCTTTCGATACAATTCCTGCCATATCAGAAACTCGTAATGGCTTTTCCTCAGTAGTTGGACTGACAGGGCTGGTCAACCTTTGTGCTAAATCTTTGATACTATGTTCTCTATTCAGCAAGATTCCTCGGTCGTCCTTCACTTCTGGAGTTGTATCTGTCTGTTTTTGTCGCATGACGGTAATCGCGTCAACAGCATTCATACTATGTCCTAAAGTCCCATTCTGGATTCTCTGTTTGAGACCAGATGTGTATCTTTGGTTTTCTAATAAAAATAAATATAGAAATTTAATATCAGAAGCATAGTATAAGAAAATAAGATTTCAAAATAAATGAATAGCGAAAAAGAAGCAGAACAAAGCGGGTGACAAAGAAATTAGTTGTGTGTTAGTTTAAGCACAAACCATTCTTTAAAACATCTGCTAGATTAAAGTTCTTCGTTGTCCTATTCGTGTATTTATCTTCGTCTTCGTGATGCCCGTTGACTCCATTCGTCAAACTGTTACCATTCAAGTTACTGGTAGTATTTGCGTAGTTCTTATTATTGGTGTAAGTTCCATTCGTGTAAGTTCCATTAGTCCCATTTGTACAACTCCCATTGGTGTTGGTATAATTCCCGATAATACTCGGGAAACTCACATTAGAACTTGAAAAACTTCCATTAGTGCTAGTGAAACTTCCATTAAGACTTGAGAAACTGCCATTTGGACTTGCGAAGCTACCGTTAGCACTCGTCAAACTGCCATTGGATGTGGAAAAATTTCCATTTGAACTTGTGAAACTGCCATTGCCGCTCGTGAAGCTCCCATTGTTGTGGAATAAGCCATTGTAGATATCACTAGAGTGGTTCAACATCTCTTGTTGCTGAATGATATGATGTGCCTGCCTCGCGAAACGATCTCGTCTTCTCCTTAAAGCTGAACTGAGTTCTTTGTTCTCTTTATTGTGGTCAGTGAGCGGTGGTAAGAATGAACGAATATTATTCGTTAATTTGTTGTCTGGCTCAGTATGAGTGATGACTGGTTTGGCTGTGGTTAGTGAAAAACAGCACAAAATAAAGACAACTGGATTATATGAATGTTGTTTAAAATGCTCTGCTTTTCAAGTTTCAAACAAACTTGACTAAAACTCGCTCGTAATGAAAACGGAATGAATTTATGCTTTTTAAACAACATTTATGTGAACAAACAAGTACTTTAGGATTCAGGTCTAAAAATGTAGACAAATTAATATTTTAATAGTTACAATATGGAGAAAAATGTCTTAGTAGATTTAAGGTATGAACTGGCATACCATGCAGAAAACTATATAATTAAAATGAGTATAATAAATTAAAGCACACCAAAGAATAAAAAAAGAACTCTGAACTCTGTTACATGTTGTCACTAACCTTTTTCTTTGCATTGTTGTTTTTTAGACGTTCTTCTCTCACTATTTAAGTTTATGTTTCTGCGGCGTATTGAGTTGATTACCGAGTCATCCAATTGCCTGAAAAAGAAAACAAATTGCTTTGGCAAATGACTTAGGTCCGGAGCTCACTGCCGGTACGGCACGGTATGAAATGGTAAATGATTTTATTTCTAATCAAGTTATTTTGAATCTTTATGTTACGCCATTGCATCTTGTGAGACGTGTGTCATGACAGAGTAGTTGGGTTTTCAGCATACCGTAGCATGCTACAGCGCAGTCTGCCTTGTCACGCCGGTAGTGAGAACCGGCTCTAATGAGGCTTTGAATACATTTCTGATTAAAATATTGATTTATAACTAAAACCTGTTTGTAAAAAAAATATTGTGTTAACAAGAACTTACTTAAGTGCTGTTCCCGTTTCGTCACCATCCTCATATAGCAAAACAGCTTCAAAAATTTGCAGTTGCCTCAATAGATCTAAATCAGTTCCTTGTTTTGACATATACAGCTGTATAATATCATCTATGCCTTGATCCTGCAAGGCATCCACTTGATCGTAGTAGGTGTCCCTATCAGGGACATTGTTTAAGCATCTATTGATCAAAGTAGTAGCATAAATGAGAAGTTCTGTGTCGGATGCATCGAAGTCCTGAAGGATCTTCATAATGTTGTACCATGGTTGTCGAGCATTAGAGTTATCCACGGTCACGATGGCATCTATGAGGAGCATACAGTTTGGTTCGGTGTATTCGACAAAGACTAGAAGAAGTTTGAGAGCTGTTTTGACTACGTGACGAAATTTGCTAGAAATGAGAGCATAGAGCCACTGCACACAGCGCTGGTGGCCCATCACCCCGTGCATACCGTCGACATACAGTAAGATCTGTAAAAGAGAATAATAATTTTGTCTGAATCAAAATATGTTATTTTGTATTATAGAGTAAAATATTGTTTTCGATAATTGACTAGAAATGATAAGCGAATGCTATTTTTTAAATTTTTAGAAAAAAAAAATCTGTTATATTGTGTGAACATATACGTTGTACTGTCATTACATTTATGTTTTAGTTTTGATAGTGCTATAATATTGTGAAGTTACAGTAGAGGCAATGAAGAAGATTTTCCAGGAATTTAGCTAATCGGCTACTGATTATTATTTGTTTACGTTACTTTATTATTGTTATTTCTATTAAAAGTCTAAAGAAAACATGACCCAAATAATTGTAGCATTAATTATTATACTAGGGTAACGCGAAAGCATTTTGGGATGTTTGTTATTTAATCACGCCTAAACGTGTATTTGGCATACATAGAAGTTCATGGATGACCAATCTTTGAATTTAGGACATAATCTAATTCTAATCCAGCGGACCGTAGTTACAAGGAATCTGGAATAGGTGATTGGATTTGAAATTAGATAGAATCTGTGAAGCTAATGCAAGGTAAATCCTATTTGATATTCGGATATCAACGGCACTCTTAGGCAAAAATACTCTCACACACACTTGACGTCGTCCCTACCAAGTTATTACGAATAACTCGCAACAAAATTCGTCACAAATAAAGTTTATAATTAACATTTTCCGTACCGGTATCGGTGAAACTGCTTTTTTTTTACAAAAAATACACTTAGTTTAGTTCAGAGTTCTGCTATTCGAATGTAATTGTTCGTATTTCATATTCGTGTGTTTGTCAACAAAACTTTTAGAACAAAATTGAAAAACTTATTTAACGTAAAATGTTACCTGTCCGAGTGCTCGTAGGATATAGTCCAGGTAGTTGTGGTCAGCCATGTTGCCGACTTGCATGAGACAGTCCAGGCCCTTGTTCGCGACGAATTCGTGCACAAGATCTTTGTCGGACTGAAGGATTTGCTTGAGAGTGAACAGGGCTCTGCGAAGCTCTCGTCCTTGAGAGTGGAGCAACCTCTCTGTAAAGTTTAGAGATAATAATTAAGTATAAGGTCACTATGGTATTTGGTTTAACTTCTTCATGTGTAATTTTGACAAGGAAACTGTAATTCTGCAAGACACAAAAACACGAGGGTTCCATAGTAATGCTCCTGTCAAGCCGTAGCCATAGTTACACCCTTGCGTTAAGTATTACTTGGGGACGGTCACGAAGTTTTGACGTTCTGTCTATGAGAAGTTAATACTTCTCATTATTTACTCAGTCTAATGACTGAGTAAATAATGACTATAAATATTAGAAAAAAATTTGAAGAAAATAGAGGAAACTGAAAAGAAAGTATTATGAAACCCGGAACTGTATTTGGAATGCATCAGCATTCCTCAGCATTGACACATCCCTTCCCTCATGTTTTCCCACCTCATATTTTGTTTTTACTACCTACTCTAAGTTTCTACGCTGCTCCTCGGGGAAATATGAGCTAATGCATTGCTAAGTTCAAAAAACAATGACACTAATCGATGTCCGAAATTAAACTTGTTTTATGGGTAACGATTTAAAGTTTCAAGTTGAAACCCTCTGGTATCAGCTGATTGAGATCCTTTAGCACATGTATGACGTGAATGATGAGAAAAACTTTATTTAGATAAACTACCGAGACTGGCAGATCAAGGGTTCTTGGGCTCGATTCCTGGGTCGGGCAACTACCTTCGATAATACAAATTAATGTAGTTTTCGGATCTTCAAATAGTTTGCAGTGGAGTTTGCTATTATGCCTGTTATAGGTACGGCCTCTACCCGATATAAGTACATGGTACCTCCTGGAATGCGTGTACGTGCACCTGCTGGCTTCAAAGGCTAACAGGTAAGAATCTATGTACACAAAGCACCGCTAATTAGTTCGAGGCGCTACACATCGACATTACTATCATTTACACAGTGAACATGTGTGGGTAATTTCATATTAATAGATATGTATAGAAACATTCGTTCTATCACACACATCTTGGTATTACATATCATTTTTGTGTCGGTATACGTAATATTTTAGTAAATAAGTTTAAATAAAAACGAGGGTAAAGATAAAAATACTCATAACAAACTTTGAATAAATCGAAATCAAAAATAATGAACGATCGAGCAATACAATACTTATATAAATATAGTGCATTCTCATTGTATTTTTATGTTACTGAATGATATACAATATTTCGATGTTCTCATCTACGGCGCGCTTGGCGCAATGGTTATCGCCTCCAGTGGTCAAGTAAAGTGCCACCGGATCGATTCCAGCATTCACATGTTGTTTTAGTATTAATTAGTCAAATATTTGAAATGTGAAATTAGAAACAATTAAATCTTTTCTTTTTTTCCTATCCTATTTTTCTAAATCTTATGTTAATTTTAATAGTAAATACTTTAGATTTATTTATACCTATAATATCCTTTATTTATATTTTAGTTCTAGTTATTTATTATTTAGAATGATTGGAAGAACTTTAAAGTTAACATGTGGTATATAATTAATTATTAGATATAAATATTGAATATAAAACCACATATTTGTATAATTAATAAATTAATTTTAATAAAAAATAGTATTGTTTTATTTACCGACTGATTTGCTTCTTTTATAGCCTGATATTTATATTATATGACAAAAAACAAAAAAAAAAATAAGAAAAACAACAAGGTAAAATAAAAAAAAACTTTTAGCTGGAATAGAACCCACATCATCATTGATCCTTGAAGACGATAAAAGCGTACTCATTAACCAATCGACCACGAGCACTACGATAATTACAGTGAAAATGTCGGGTCATATCAATGATTGTAAATAGTTTTAACCTTACCCATGCATTATTATAAAAATACGTATACCGACACAAGAATGAAAATACCAATGTGAACGTGGTGGACGAATATTTTTATACACAGTAATATGAAATTACCCACACATGTACATTGTGTAAATGACAGTAGTGTCGATGTGAGCGTTACGAACTAATTAGCGGTGCTTTGTGTACATACATGTTGGTGTATATTATGTGGTCGGAAAAACTTACCAATGATTGCGTGGACGCGAACAGATAATTGAGTGCGAAGGACCAGGGCATTTTTGCGACTGAAAAGAAGAAAATAAGAAATATTAAGGTTCATTAAGTTAGGTGTAGCCTTTTTGCAGATTTTATTTCTTTAACATTCTAAGTGTTGCACGCAGTCTGCTGTTGCGTATCCAGTATTTGATAATAACTAGTTTAGCCATTCTTGAATTCTAAACATTAAGTGAACCATCCTTTAGATGACCCATAACAGTAGCAAATAAAAATAAAGATCTATCGTCGGAGGTCAACGATGGTACTACTTAAATAATGACGTCATTAATGTAGCAAATTCAGTATAATTATGTATTAATTTTCAATATTAATCGAATGGAATTGAATGGAATGGAATTTGTCAGTTAGGACCAAAACTTCGTAAGAATCAGAGCAAAAACTCAAAAACATACGACAAGATCACGCCTTTTATTGCCCGAACGGTCGATTAGAGGTGCATGTAATTTACTGAAGGAAATAACTAGTTTGATTAGCTATGGGTTCCGTATAATAGGATTGGGTCTGACCATAACCAGAACACAATGGTAGTCTCTGGAGTATTGATAACACATGTCGAATATGTGAAAAAAAAAATTATGTTGTCCCAGAAGTCGACCGCTCGATCTTGGCTCTACAATGACGCTTATATTATATCCCACTCCACCAACGAGGAAATGTAAACGTTCCATATTTCAGCATTTTACTTAATAATTTTGAATTCTGAGTGTTTCCATGGTTTTCGGTCAGATTTTTGGATCGGATTAGGCATTAAAAGGATTATTACCTAGCACTAATAAAGTCTGTAATTGTCCGCGGTGAATAGTATTATATTCATAATGATAGATCCGTCCTTATTATATGTAAACTAGCGACCCGCCCCGGCTTCGCACGGGTGCAATATGTATATACATACAAACCTTCCTTAAGAATCACTCTATCTAATAAAAAAAACCGCATCAAAATCCGTTGCGTAGTTTTAAAGATCTAAGCATACATATGGACATACAGCGGAAGCGACTTTGTTTTATACTATGTATGTAAATATTGACGTAATAGGCAAATGGTCAGTGTTTCTTATAATTGTAACTATTATAAGCTCCGTGTAATTGTAACTATCGTAACTCCTTCGGAGGACAAAAGGAGAGATATTATATTTAATATTTTAATTCGAGTATAATAATGATTACAGCATTACAAAACTACGAGTGCACTTGTTTTTGAATAACAAATAGGCGACATTAAGAGGTTCATAACGTTTATTAACTCGTCGAGTACCGTCATTATAGACACAATTATAGAACAATAGGTTGCGGTCACCGGTGACCGCTTGGTGTTTGACAGTTTAACGTACATTTGAAGTAAAATTATCTCAACAACCTAATATTTACATGATCTAGACATCGAATAGATACTTATCAATAAATGACATTTCATTTCTGTTGGTTGAACGTCCAACTTTCGTACTAAAGTGATCCTTTCATCACCACTTTTGATTTTAGTTGTCCGCTTTACGTGGTATGCCTCAATACTTCGTACATGATTTAAGTTATTATGAAATATATAAATATATTTTGTGGGTATAACAACATTATAACGACAATAATTATTGGGAAATATTGATGAATATAAATAAAATTAAATTTATTACCTAATTAAAGACGTAATTATTTTTATACGTAGTTAAAATGTACTTGTAACTTGACATTTAACTTCCCTGTGGAATAAAGAAAAAGGAAAAAATAAATGAAAAATTAAACCTATCCGAAATAGTTTTGATTTGACTGATAGACAGATTGACAACGCTTTGTACATATAAACAGAACATCGAAACGAAATTCAAAGGAAACCAGCCTTTTGTGTTTGACATAATATTATATTAAGTAAATGCCTTTTGTATTTGATATTATTATAGTATTAAAAGAGAAACGAATAGAGCTTCTTGCTTGTTCTTCTTCACTCGAATCTACATTTTGGAATGAGCACCTAGCTTCACTGACGGATTAAGGTATAGATTTATATTTTTATGGAATAGGAGGCAAACGGTCAGACGGATAACCATGATGGTAAGCGACCATCGCCGCCCATGGACACCCGCCACACCAAAGAGTCAAATGTGGGTTGCCGACCTTTTAAAAATGAAATTGACATAAGTGCTTATTTACTTTGAGTCTACCCAGACAAAGATGTACTAACAATAGACACTCATACAAGTTGTTTTTCGGAAATTATCTTCTTTTACTTTGAGTCTTAATTTCATTGCGAATAATAAGATAATATTCCAAAAGAATAAGTCTTGTAATAAGCATAATAATATTTATTTTCGTGGTTTGTCGTGGTGGCCCGGAGGTTAAGGCGCCCACTTCTCATTCATGATGGTGCGGCTTCAAAACTTATCAACGGCACGTACCAATGTGACTTTTTCCGAGTTATATGTATGTACTTTCTAAGATTATGTAGATACCACTGACAAACGGTAAAGAAAAACATCCTGAGGAAATCTGGACTTATAATTTCTAATTATTAGTTTGAAATCGCCAACCCGCAATGAGCAAGGGTGGCGATTAATGCTCAAACGAGAAGGCTTTGCTTAGCAGTGGGCACTTATAGGCCGTTGATGAATGTTTATTTATTGAACGTGAATTTAAGTACTTATTGTAAAAAAAATATCAGCCAAAAATACTTAAATTATGAATGCTTCCTGTTACTCAATGCTTTTTTCGAAGTAAAAACACTGAGTTTTTTCTAAGGTTTCTAGTAGTGACGAGTTCATAATTTTAAACATATTGACACTTTCTTTTCCTTGCATTATTATTAAAGTCGTGCACAAAATTTAATGTACATTTTAATCAATTAATACATTACAATTAGGTATACACCTCAAATGATTTGCGATGGAAATAATATTTATTTATCATTGAGAAAACTTGATAGGGATATAATATATCCCTATCAAGTTTTCTCAATCAACAGACATATCAACAGACATATTATGTCTGTTTTTAAACTCACATATCTTCATCGAAGAAATCATCATCTTCGTCCTCCGACATGTCATAGTCCAGGTCCAGATTGAAATTCACTTTAACGGGCACTTCTTCATCAGCTATACCAGAATCTAATGATATTTGTCTGAATTTACAAATCGGTGCAGTTTCAAGATGTGCATTTTCCTCGACCAAGTCGGATCGTGTGAAGTTTCGCAAGTTATCTTCCATTTTTCTCCCATCGATTCTATACAGCCTGCTCTTTATTGTTGTTCACTTATTCTGCACTTAAACTGTCAAACACCAAGCGGTCACCGGTGACCACAACCTATTGTTCTATAATTGTGTCTACAAAACCGGTACTCGACGAGTTAATTTACAAGTAACTAGCACGGAGGATATTAAAAAAAAGAAATCACGCATTTAATTTAAATATTATTCGTTAAATCAATTTTAAATTTCGATCGCGGCGTTCTTATTTTTAAATCACTGTGTCTAGTTTTTATAGGTCAGCTTTGTGGGGCTTGCGTCTCTCATCGCTCCCCGACGCGAACTGAGGGTATCGCGTTCATAATCACTAAAATTTGTTTTCTTCATCCCAAATTACACATTCACACCCTGTACATGAGTTTTTGCAGTGTAAGTTCATTGTTTAAACGAAAAGCAAGTTTTTGTAGACGTTCGACTTCATCGCGATTGAGCAGAATCGAAAAAAACAGTAGCTAAACAAAACACGGGCGGTTTCGCTCACTGCTAATACCCATACTTTCTATAGTGACGGTATATGATATGACACGGTGACGAGAAACTAATAAATTCTTCTTGTAATTAAATAAGTTACATCAACAAGATGTGTTTGGGTTGGTTACGACTTCCTTTTTAAAAGTCCTTATTAATTAATCATAGAAATACAGTGGGTAAAAAGTTCAGAGTAGCCCTTATTTAAATTAGAAAGTTTTGTTGTTTTGTTAAGGCAAGGATGTTGAAAAATACGGACGTAATGTCACTTAGAAATGATTGAAGTACTCAATTATCATCGTGGTGTAATGTATGAAGTACTTGCAATACCGTAATGTATGAAGTGTAATGACGATCCTTCTCACGCGACAGAGGTCCTTTGCGTCAATGTGTGTGTATTTTGCGTGTAAGTCTATAGTAGCCAGGTGCCACAGTCGTCCTTGTTCTACGGATTAAGAAAAGAAAATAAGGATTTTACAGTATTTCATGAGAAATGGGTGTACCTTTTGTAACCAGTAAAAGGCTGTACCTACAATAAATGAATAAAAAGATTTGTCGCATAGATAACTAATTTACAGAGGAAAAATTCATAGGTATTTACAATGTTCAATTAAAACCCTATTACAAAAAAAGATCAAATTCACATTCTCGTACATATAAAACCGCGAATCTAGTCGTTTACCCGGTTACAAGTGTAACAGTAACCCAAATAAATGTACATGTGTCGAATCCGGTGCTGATCTATTTCTGATCCCATGGAAAACGGTGCGACGACCTTTGGTACATAGAGGCAACGTATTAATTAAAACCTATAATTAATATACTAACATTACTTAACTTGATTACTATTAAAAGTTCTTTCTCCTGACCTTTGCCTGGGAAGTAGGTTGCGGTCAGTATTATATAGTTATCGTACTCTAATGCTCTAATTTAGAGTAAATGCGTTGTCAATATTATGTGGTGTAAGTATCTAAGTTAAATTATTTATCGAATTTATAATACTGTTGCTGCGTTATATCGTGTACTATAGTTTGTGTTACATGCCCAAAAAAGTAGGCAAAATTTCATATGGAATGGTCCTTTCCTAGGGTGCTAGGGCTGTACTTCAATCACAGTATCTAATTAACTTGAATTATTGTAATTAACCGAATAGTGAATACCTAGTAATATTTTACCTGGAAGGTTTCCAATGTATGGCAATAAATTACTATCTCACGTGCAAGTACAGCTCTGCCCAATGCCTTTACTTCATGGAATAAAGACGTTATATTCATATTATAATAAATAAATAAATAATTATTTTTTATTTTTCGATTGCTATCTGTAAGAACTGTGTATAACTTGTAAACTGTATATGGAAGGCTGAATGCAATATAAGCTTGCGTGTCTTTGATAAGTGTGCCAGTTCAATATAGCGAACTTTTTTGAATGAGCAATGTAAATTGTTACATTGAAATATTGTTTTCGACTTCCTAAAATCAAACAAAAATCGAAAGACATTCCTTACTTTTGAGAGATTCATTCATCTACATCTGGATGCCTCTACACCTGGATCATGGATCTTGAAGTCCTTTAGGGCAGACTATGTTTTGTGGATATGTTGATGACTGTAGGATAAACATAAAAATACGGCTAAATCGTGGCACACGCCACGTGACAATTGTCACCAAAGTATTTAGTGTCTGTTACCTGCGTACCTAAAAAGTATGTTTTGTTTGCTAATTCAATTCTGTTGAAAAGTAGTATTAGGGGATTATTAGAAACGTGAGTTCGGTGCTAAGTAGTTATGCCTGTATTTATTGTTACAATACACTAATTAGGTACTTAGGTACATCTTAGATCAGGCCATCAAACAAATGAAAAACGCTATTCGAACAAGCGCATAGAAAAGTCAATGCATGAGGTAGGTGGACGACACTGACATTCAACAGAATACATACCTACGTCAAGCCCATACATTGACTTTGTATGCTGCATGGCTGCATCTGGTGTTAGAGAACATGTCTCATCGATGTATTTATGATCCAAACATAGGTTGGTGTAACTAAGGTCCTACACCTTAGTAGTACCTTAGAAGTACCTATACATACTTCGGACTTACTGATTATTAAAGAATCGGATAATTCGCTGAAACCTTATCTTTTATGGCGGAAAAATGCCGTATCCTTTAGAATGTTATTTCCTCAATATTTTAATGGAAGGGTTAATTGGTTTTGTTTGAGCTGCTCCGGAGGATGTCTGTCTGACCCGCTGTGCGATGAAATCCGATCAAATAATATGTATATATTATTATGAGATGGTAATAAATTGTAAAATCACACGGGTAAAATCACGTAATCAGGGTAAAATCACACTGAGACATGGCTGTTAATAATTATGATTAGCGCAATACGTATTATGTCCCCAATCAGATTCGGGGCATCCTAGGACCACACTTGTCTGCCACTTCACCAAAGAGTTGCCAGAGATCAGCCAAGATGAGATCGCGGTAACTTTCTGAAGACGATGTGTAACGAGATGATCCGATAAAGAACTAAAGTCATCGACGTAGCCCAAAGGATTAGCAAGCTGAAATTGTAGTCACATTGGTCGAAGAATCGATGACTGTTGGAGTACACGTGTTCTGGAGTGGAGACCGCGTCTAGGCAAACGTAGTGTAGGGCGCCCTCCAGCTATGTGGAGTAACAATATCAGCAAAGTGGCTGGTAGTGATTGGATGAGTAGAGCTGAATATCAAGCTCAGTAGCATGCCATTGGAGATGCCTATATCTAACAGTGGACGAGAAGAGGCTGTTGATGAACTTATAGACTGAACAAGATTCTAGATTACAGTTGAATCAATATTCGTTTGATCATGGAATTAGGTTAAACCAGACCTCGGGATCATCAGTCAACGATGCAACCACTTGAAGAACGGGACAGTCGTCAACATGAGGAAGACAAAATCATTGTCATTCATTAACTTTCAAATAACTGACCCCTACATTTGCAGTTCCTTGCCAATCGTTACGCAGGATATAGCATCCAATCGACTTGAATAAAATAATCATTTGGAACCTTTTAGTAATTTTACTCCCGTTCAACTTTCAATACGAGTATCATTATTATAAGAATGTGATGATAAAAGTTTATTAGTCAGTCGAGTTTAGGAATGCCTTAAGGTTGACGTCAGCTTTGCAAAAAGGTGTTAAGAATTTAAATATGCATATATTTTGTAGTATGCATTTCGTTAAAGAAAGAATATACAATATGTTTATCTGTGTTAGGATACACTACACGTAGAATGCATAGTTATGTTACTCAAATTATGCACGGTTTAGATTCGACTATGAAAACGATTAAGTGTTTAATCACCGTTTTTCCATTAAGTACTTAGCGGTTTTTTTTAATTAAATAATAAACTAGGTAATAGGGTAGTTGCCTAATTTTTATTAAACACGTATTAAAAGAAAAGTAAATTAGACACGTATTTATTATTTTCTTACTGAAACGAATACTTTCAACGGTATATTGATTTGAAGTGTCACGTGACGTCACTTCTATTTAGGTACATTTTATACGTAGAAATGACGTTTTAGCCCCGACTCATAAAATTTGATTCGTTGTAGCTAAGTTTTATTTTATTATACTTACATCAAAATAAAAAAATCCGTGTCTGATATTTTTTCATTACCTAACTTACGGTCTAATTAGATTTTTAATGTTCATACCCTGTCATCATCCCAATTGTTGAAAGGGCTGTAAACACTGAAATTAGGTTATAAAAGAAAAACTAGGTACCTACGTATACAATTTATGCGCGTAAGTAACATCTGATGTAAATCCCAATTATTTAATCAAATTACTAAAAAACTTAACTAAATCTGCCATCTCAATGGATGGTGGATTTAGTGGATATTAACTCATATGGGAACTGAAGGGGAATACTACCGGAAGAAAGCAATAACTGGCAGCGAGGGAGCAACGACGCATCTCGTTTAAACTATAAAGTATAGTATCATTTAATAATTTATACAAATCAAACTGTGATGTTTATTTAGTCAACCAAAGGGCGTCGGGATTCCAGTTTGAGATTGTATCTTGACTTAGGTTTGACTAAAATTGTCTGCGAGTAAGGAGTTTGGAGTAGCAGTACATGTTTGTACATGGTTGCACTTTAGGGTAATACTGATAATGATTACAGGCCATAGGTACATTGGAATTGTATAATTACCGATGCAAGGAATTATCACACTTAGGCTCTTTTCTTTAGCGAACACTTTTAGCGCGAATACGTAATTCAGCAGTTTGCTCACCTGTCCTGTAGACCTTCCAATTCTTCTTCTTGCTCGCCAAGCGTTGAGTCCAGGTCCAAATAAGGTCCATAGTCGCCGTCTTTAAACACTTGGAGCGTTGCGTCATCCAACTGCAACAAAAAGAAGAATATATTTAGTTATTGGTGTCTCAATTAACAATCTATTGATTTTATAACCTGTCTAAAATATTGTGTTAACCAACAAATCACATATCTTTATATCTCTGGATCTTCTTACCTCATACTTGAGTAACAGGATTCAGAGAGTCGAAATAAACGGAAAAGTCTCCACCGGGTCTGTTGTTAGGATGGGGGTTCCGCAGGGGTCAATTCTCGGCCCATTTTTGTTTCTTATATATATAAATGACTTACCTTACCTTGTAAGGGATAACCACGGGATAGTACTGTTTGCGGATGATACTTCGTTATTATTTAAACTTAAACGTAGACAATTAGTTATTAATAATGTGAACAGTGCTCTCTCGGAGATAGTACGCTGGTTCAATGCCAACAACCTATTACTAAATGGAACTAAAACTAAATGCATTAAATTTACAACACCAAATGTTGGACATGTGAAAACCAGCGTGCTCATTAAGGGTGAGGAGTTGAGCCCTGTAGATTCTACTGTCTTTTTAGGTATAACCCTAGACGCTAAGCTCCAGTGGGCTCCACATATAAATAAGTTATCGAAAAGGCTCAGTTCTGCAGCATATGCCGTTAAAAAAATTAGAAATCTAACCGATGTAGATACAGCGCGATTAGTATACTTTAGTTATTTTCATAGTGTTATGTCATATGGTATTCTCTTATGGGGGAATGCTGCTGACATTCAATCTATCTTTGTTCTGCAGAAGAGGGCCATTCGATCAATTTATAATCTTAGTCCGAGGTACTCTCTCAGGGAACTATTTAAAGAAATTAATATAATGACGGTTGCTTCTCAATACATTTATGAAAATTTAGTATATGCTCATAAAAACAAAAGTTTATTTAAAAAACATAGTGATATACATAATATAAACACGAGAAATAAAGACAAATATGTTGTTCCCACTACTAGACTAAAGAAAATAAGTGGTTCGTTTAGATGTCAGAGTATACGCTTTTACAATAAGATTCCCAGCCATATCCAAAATTTGAGTCTAAATAAATTTAAAAATGTCATTAAAGATAAATTTTATAGTAAAGCTTATTATAAAATAAAAGACTACCTAGATGATAGTCTGGCTTGGGAATAAGCTGCTGTAACGTCCACACAGGTCATGTTGACATGTTTGTAACATATAGTTACATTTCTTTTTTTATATGCAATTTGACATTATTGTTTTAATGTGACATTGTTTTTCATATGTTGTTCTAACTTGACATTTACTTTTTATTTAACAATTGTTAGTGCTAGGACCGTGCGAGACTTTGCCTCACCATTTCTTTTCTAATTACCCTTTTTCTGACAGTTTGAGTATTTGTGCGACCCACGCAAATGTTCTTTAGGTTGGTATTGTTCGTCGAATCAGTCAGCCTCACCTGTTAATTGAGCTGACTGTAAACCGACACATGCGTACTGCCTTCAGAACGGGTCCGCTCAAACTGTTGTGGTTCTTTCCTCAAAAGCCCACTACAGAAAGAACTGGCACGGTTCTCACACATAATCTGTTATACATATTGTCTGGACTTTAAAAGAGACAGACCTCTGAGTTTGTTTCGGCATTTCTTCTCAGAGTAGTCAGTTAGGAAATGTCGACCTCATCGTTCGCTTGATAAAATTGACGTGTAAAAGTGCTGCCTTGTAGCCTATTTGCAGAAATAAATTCACTTGTTTCACTTGTTTCACTTGTTTCACTTGTTTCACTTGTTTCACTTGTTTCACTTGTTTCACTTGTTGTTTCACATGGCATCTTCTCCATGTAAACTTCATTTGTTAACATTTTGTAGCTTTAGACGGAGTATTTTTCGGATAAACACTCAAAATGAATTAAATATCGATTATTACTCATTTGTACTGAAGTATTTATCTAGAAAGGTGGATAAATACCCATTATTAAGTAGTGTGTGCTTCGTATACCAAGTACTATAAGTGCCATCTATTTTCAAATCGGTTAAACCTGTAAGAAAGTGCCATCTATTTTCAAATTGCTTAAACCTCTAAGAAAGTGCTATCTATTTTCAAATCGCTTAAACTTGTAAGAAAGCACCATCTATGGTATATAGCTATAATCATTTTATAACGTGGCGTCATCTATAGAGTGTGCGATAACTAAATAAGTTTCAATTAATATGGATAGATGTCGCACCAATGCACTTTTTTGATGATTCCTGTATTTTATTATCTCCGTAAATACCAGTTAAAACAACATAAATCCATGTTTAACGGTGAAATACACGCTTATTTGAAACAAATAAGGCATTATTTCAACATTTATATTTTTTAAATTTTGCTTAATATCATTGATTTTATACATTTTTATGAAAGGTATTAAATGCAGAAACTCAGAAAAATATTAATTTTTCAAAAATATTCGCAAAATCTCCCATTTTTTGATAAAATTACCCTTACGGAGTTTAGCTCTCCCTGCTCTGCTCCTAAGTGTCGTAGCGTGATGTTAGATATCCAGTGGTTTTCCCCAAGAGTGTGGCTTTTGTACAAAATATATTTTTTTCAAATCCGTCCATTAGTTTCTGAGATAAACGTACTCAAAAATTAATGTTCAAAATTACTCATAACATCACGCTTCTTATTTCGAAAAGGGGTCAGTAGGTGATACACGAGGCCTTTTCCGTACCCTGTGCAAAATTTCAGGCTCCGTTCTCACATTTTATTTTATGGCCCGAAAAAAATCGTGTGTATAAGCCTTGATTCATTTTCATGGTTTTGAACTAATTATTTTTTATTATTTTTTTAATAATATTTTCATGTTCATATACACCCAAATATTCCATTTTCGCAAAAAACTTTTTCTTAAGTACTTAAATATAGAAAATATTTGAAATAGTGTCGGCGCGCTCCTTCAATGTTATAAATTAAATGTAACATCACGATTTTTTTACAAAAAAGGGTAGGCAGATGTAGTACGAGCCTGTATCTGCACACTGAGAATAATTTCAGAATTGTTAGAATTATGTCCACTGAAAAAATCGGACAAATGAAGGCTTGAATTCGGTTCCCTTAGTTGAGTAATATTTTATATTACTTTTTGTTATGATTTTTATAGCATTTTATACCTAGGTATATGTATAATTTAATTTACATACCGTTAAATCATACAGCTATATTTCAAAATTAATAAATAAATCTATGACTATGCGCGTACGAATGACTCAAATGTGTTAGGTACAAAGTTCGTCATATAATGAGGTATATGCTAGATATTATATGTGTGTAGAAATAATAAATAAAGTTTTACCGAATGTAGTATTTTAGACAAGACGAGTCAGGCTAGTGTCTAGGGTATTGAAAAACTATACGCATCCGTAAACTTCATAGCGTCTGGGAAGTGTAAAATATATTATGTTTTATGCTGTTCTTGTTAACACTTCAACTAAATAACAGAATTATTTTCAGTTCACACACTATCGTTATATATTGGTTGCCGACCAACCCTTTAACTTCTTAATCCCCGATAATGAAAAATTCACATCATTCGTTCATACAAAATTAGTCTCTAAACATCGGAAACAATTTATATAATGGAGTAAATGCATAGCGGTCACGGGTGACCACTTGGGGACTGGGCAGAAACACACAAATTAAGAGCAGAATAATAAATAATGTTAAACCAGTAAACACCATTAGATACGCCACGTGTTCGTTAGCACTTAGCAGTTATAATAAATACTCTACGAAATGTATCAAGATGAAATTGATCATTAGTACCCGGTGAAGGATAATAAAACTGTTACCCGATCATAGTTTGTATTTAATCCTAATTGTACTAATTCAATTGACTGCAATATCAGCTTATCAGCTACAATCGCAAGCGCATCTGAAGACTGTGTCTTCGACTTTAGGGGATTAATATATTATAATGGTAAACGGACCCAGAAAAATAATCAATTAGCTAATGTACTGCACTCGTCAGTCGTCTATCGTGTTAGCATTTATAATTTCCTTTTCAACGACTGTATGACGTTAAAACATTTAATGGCTGCGTTACGCGCATTAAAATTTGATCCGCTCGCCACGCGTGACATCACAAAAAACATGTACCTACCTACCTACCTAGGTAATGCTTTGGAACTGTGTCTAAATACGTAACGTTCTATTTTGTAGCAAAATGTGGGTAACAACTGATGTTCTGAGACCTTAGTATGAGTTTATTTTACGTCTGCTCGTTTGCCTCCTATTCCATAAAAAAAAAAAAAAAACGTTTAAAGTAATCGTAACGAGTACGTGTTCGGCGCTCTGATTGGTTGGTTCATTGGCGCCGGCCAATCAGAGTGTCGAACGCGTACTCGGTACGAATAATTTAAACGTAAATGAAACTCGTACTAAGGCCTCAGAGTGCCGAACGCGTGCTCGTTTCAAATCAAACTCGTACTACGGCCTCTGATGGTGATCATGACTTTTCTATCATGCTAAAATTTGAATGTATATGCTCACTACTCACGTATTGTTTCAGGAATAGTTGCACCCAGATTTATGCGTCACATATTACTTTTTAGTTCTTATTGCATGACAGTTTTAAGACATACGACCTGATTAAGGTCGTAGGGAGCCTCAGGAGGTTGCTTCCAACCCCCACCTAGAAGTCATTGGGTGAAGTCCTATGTTCAGCAGTGGACGTCCTATGGTTGATATGATGATGACGATGAGGATGACCGTTTTCAAGGTAAAAAGTAGCAATCTTTAGTATCCCAACTTCATAGCCTATGTGCCTTTATCAAAATAGTTAACATAACATCACGCCTTTTATCCCCGAAAGGGTAGGCAGAGGTGCACATTATGCCACTGTATAATGTAATACCCAGTTTTCACTATTTATGTTATGAGTCCCATGTAATAGGGGGAGAGTCTATTGCCATATACCGGGCACAATCCAGACTCCGTGCTATTACTGAGAATTTTTTTAAATACCCAGAAATACTTTGCCTGAACCCGGGAAACGAACCCT